AAAAAAAAAAAAAAAGGCAGTGATGTTACATATCCTGTGTGTTTGATCTTGACTATGAGTTGTCCTTCACCAATGTTAGTTGTCCAAGGTCCCAGAGAGCGTCAGTTAAAATACAGTTGTAGACAAGTTAAAAAATAGAAAGGTTTTTGCCTGCTCACTCCTTCCTGTTATATCCACATTTTGTGTTTATTAAATTGCATACAAGGCTGGCGTTTTTTATCTGGCCTTCCTCCAGTTTTCTCTCCTTGGGGCACCCTTTGATGGGGCTGAGCAGACGCAGGGGCCGGCCACAGGGGCCCTGGAGTAGCTGTGGTTCTGGCCCTCACTGCCATTGGCTGCCTCGGTGATGCTTTGCAGGGAGCTTTCCAGCCCTGTGCCCTAGAGTTCTCATCCTTCAAATAAGAGAAACAATCCTGCCTCACACAGGGCTGCCGGGAGGGTAGAAGTGAAGGTGCAGGTGTGAAGGTGTACTGGAAAAGAACCTGATCAATTAAGAGCCTTCCTGTGTGTTCTCTTCTCCATCTATCCCGAGTCGAGTATTTCACTCAATATTGCCAAACCTTGAGGACTTCTTCACTCATTGCCATCTTCACTCTCTCAATAAATGTTTATGACCACCCGCTTTGTGCAAGACAACACACTAGGGATTTGGGAGGTAGAGTGGCACAGGGCTTACCAAGACAGGGTTCCTACCCTCTGGGACTTAATCTTGTAAGACAAAATGTGCATAAATTATAATACCTGGCAGAAAGTGAACTGTGTGTCAATGTAAACAAAGTCCTTAAGAGAACAGAGGAGAGACGAAATTACGGCTCTAGGGATCAGAAACAGCTGTGTTGGGAGTGGTAACTTTTCAGCTGGACCTTGAAGGATAGGAAGAAGGTGATGGAGTAGGGAAGGCCATTTCAGACAGAGGGAAGTTGTGAGGAAAGGGAAGGACTGTTGGAATTGTGGGATGTGTATGGGGAATGGAGAGTGGCCCACTGTGTTTCAGATAGATAGTGCCTGAGAAACAGTAGGCTATAGAGTTAGAAATGTCTAGAACAGTGCCTGGCAATTAGAGAAAGTCTGATAAATATTCAGTAAATGGATGGATGGAAAGAAGGGAAGGAAAGTTATGACAAATTCCGGAGGACTAAGGGGCTTGCACTTTTATTTTTCAGACTGCAGGGCACTTTTGCATAATTTTGAGCTAGGAGGAAGTATGTTCACAGCTGTGCTTCTGGAAAATCAACTAGCTGCAGTGTACGAAGTGAATTGGGTAGTAGGGAAACCCAGTGAGGAAGCCATTCCTTCAGGTCTGGTTATGTTGTGAGAGTCTGAACCATGAGTGACAACAATCCAGACTCAGACTTGGTGACTAACTATATATGGGTAACAAGGAGATAAAGATATCCAAAGACTGAGTGACTGGAAGAAATTCTGGTGCCATCGGCAGAATTAAGGACCCGAGAAGCACAAACCCACTTTGGGGGTGGGAGGGGGCAGGGAGATGAACATGGTATGTCTGGGTAGTAGCCATGTTGCTAAGAATTCCAGCTGAATTCCTACTATGTTCTTCACTTTCTCTGGAGTAGTTTTGCATAAATTTTATCTTCCTGGTGGCTGGGGATCCTCTAGAGACAGGATCATGTCTCTTAAAACTTGAATGTCCTTATTACAATAGTAATTTCTACAATAGTAGAAAGCATTACAAATATTCATGTAATAAAAGAGTCAGTGAGATCTTCAGTAGCCTTATAATTAATGCACTGATGGCAGAACTCTCAAGTAGGAAAAATGCAGGCACTGGCCTTTTCAGTGTTGAACGGTTGTTCTGGGTTGTTCCTGCTGCCTGGGTGGCGGAACCGTGAGCAGAGTGCTGAACGACATCTTCTCTGGGTTACAGATATCAGTGTGGACCACCCTGATGAGAAGTCCATTATCACTTACGTGGTGACTTATTACCACTACTTCTCTAAGATGAAGGCCCTGGCTGTTGAAGGAAAACGAATTGGAAAGGTGAGCTCACACCAATTTTACAGGTTGTGAGACGTAATTAAGGTTCCTTTCTCAATGTACTGCCACTGAGCACCTTGTTCTCCCGTGCACCCATAAATTTAGCCATCAGCAGTTTGTGGTGGACTCTCCAAACGGCAGGGAAGTAGGCAGAAGCCTCTTCATCCCGAAGAATAATGGGAGGTAGGAGTGGTGGCTAAAATATTCAGGAAGGGATTTGAGGGGAATCTCAGAGCCAGAAACACCCCTCCCCTCAGCCTTACCAGAAAATTGGGTATTGAAAATCTGATTGGGTTGGCTGATGTCATGGGTGTAAAATCCTACTTAGCACAGTTGAAAGGCCTCAGTAGTATGCTTTTTATTTCTGGTTTGACTGATGTTCACCTGCTGTATATTTCAAAACACCTCAGACCAGATGACATGTCTTCTCAATGCAATGGAATGGAAAATTCATGAGCAGTCATGGGACAGGACCAAGCAAAATAGAGCCCTTTTTGTTTCTGTAGGAATTTTGGAGCTTACGCAGTAGGAGTCATTCATAGTCTTAAACCCTTTGCCTGGGGGTTGGGAGGTTACAGAACCAATTATAGTTGAGTTAAGCTATCATTGTTTGCAAATAATAGCCACAGTCTGAGTGCCCATTAGCAAATGGTTCCTCAAGTTTAAGATGCTCGTGCCAGAGTAGCATAGAACTGTTTCAAAGCCAGTCATTAAGTGCGCGTGTCCTCGTGTAGGGTGCAATCATGTTTTTCTTTCATAGTGATATGATCTTACGTTTCCATTTTTCTAACTCTTGTTGACAGGTGCTTGACAATGCTATTGAAACAGAAAAAATGATTGAAAAGTATGAATCACTTGCCTCTGACCTTCTGGAGTGGATTGAACAAACCATCATCATTTTGAACAATCGCAAATTTGCCAATTCACTGGTTGGGGTTCAACAACAGCTTCAGGCATTCAACACTTACCGCACTGTGGAGAAACCACCCAAGTAAGATGCAGAGTGGAGTGCATGGCCATTAGTATGGGAAGAGAGATCACTGCAGCCCAGACCCCTGTTTTCTGACACGCATGATCCCATCTCTTAATGAGTGCCTCTCACCAGTGGCCTGTCGTACTCCTTTCCGTCTGCTCCTGTGTCGCTGAGATTTATTACAAATCATGCCCTCTGTGAGCCCTTTCCAGGAGAGTGTGCCGCTGATACACGTGATACTTGAGAATCCTGAAAAATGGTGCAGGTCCCCAATCCCTTATCTTCTGCCTGTTTCAGAATTCCATATTTTTTGGATTTTAGAAAAGTAGAATGCGTGTATGTTGTATATTATAAGACTCCAGGTGGGTCCAAGGCAATAACCCCTAATCAGGGCCGCTAATATATCTAGCAAAATGTGTAAATATTCACATTGTGGATAAAAACGGACGGTAAATGGTTTTGTATTAGTTCAGATAAGATTTTGCTGCCCAGAAAAGCTTGATTTTTCACATCCTTTTAAAATTCCTAATTGTCGAATAGGGATTGTGGACCTTATCTCTTATTGTGGTGCTAAAGTCATTGCTCCTTTTTCTGAAAGTCTACTCAGTTGTGAGTTTCTTGCTGAGGTCTCTGAAACCCATTGAAAGTTACATTAGGTAGTCATTTGAATAATTCTTGCTGAATGCATCCAGCTGTGGTCTCTGAATGACGTTAAGACCGTTGTCTAGGACTTATGGTCTAAACTTTGAATGAGGTGATTAATGAAAGAGTGGTATTGTGTGCCCCCAAATATAAATCTCAGTAACAACAACCAACCAAACACAAAAAAATTCCACAGTTGGGCACATTTTGTGGTCTGTAATATCCAAAAACTAACCCACTGTGGTTTCACTAACATGCGTTTCACATAACTCAGACCAGAGATAAATGGCTTTTAAAATTGCGTGGCTGAGTGAAATGTTTTTTTCTCCAGAAGCAAATGAATTTTTCCCTTTGAAGGAACAAAATACAGTCAATAATCTTTATGGGTTTTTTTGTGTGTGTGTGTGTGCGCTTAGATTTACTGAGAAGGGGAACTTGGAAGTGCTGCTTTTCACCATTCAGAGCAAGATGAGGGCCAACAATCAGAAGGTCTACATGCCCCGGGAGGGGAAGCTCATCTCTGATATTAACAAGGTAAAACCGATGCATCTGGTCCTGTTTGGGCCCTGGCTTCCTGGAGGCTTCAGGTTCTATTGCTGAGGCTTGGTTGCTAAGAGGGCAAGAGACTGAAAGAATCCACCCCTGCTGCCTGCTGAATTGATAAGTGACAGCTGTTGCTCAGGTATTGCAGAGGGTCAAGTGACTACTTGGGGTAGGCTAGTCTTTTGGAGGCTGGGGGACAGGGGGAAATGTTAGATTTTATCGAGCGAACCTTGGTTCAGCCTGTTTATCTTGTTGCTCTCATCTGTCCAAGGCGGTTGACTCAAAAGTCTTTAAATTGCAGAAGGGAGAACTCGAAATCTTATTTCATGTCATCTGGCATCTCTAGAGGTTGGGAGTTAGGATTTTGGCTCCTTCCATCAGAGAAGCTGTCAGACGATTTCCATTATCATGCCTGTAAGGTCTGCAATTATAAGATTTCACAGTGGGCATTATTTCCAAGCAGAAATTTGAAAAATCTAGAACTGTGGTCAGTTGTACACATTTAGATTCTTTTAAGTGGAATTTTTTTTTAACGTGAAGTGTGATGTATTTCATAGAAATGAATTTAATGTGGACAATCATTGAGGATTTTGAAAAAAATACTCAGATATATGAATTAAAAACAAGTGGTTCAGGGTAGTGTGAAAGAGAGATTCATAATGTGATTTCGTTCTGAGGAAAAGCATTTATCTTTTTTATATGATCAGAGCTATTGAAGATAATTACTTTGTTTCCTCTCAAAATAAGAGATTTATAACTTAGTTATATTGCTCTCTGTCTACACTGTTTTGTTTTCCAAATATAATACCGGATCTTGAGATTTAGAAGGGGAGAGTGTTCCCATGGGGCTCAACTGAGAGAAAACTGGTTTTTCTCAAGGCTTAAGCGTCAGTGAGAGTGAGGATGAGATTTCCCTTTTAAGTTCACGGGTCTTGTTGAGAAGTACTAGCTGCTGACTGTAACCAAGGACAGTTCCTTGAACATTGCCGGAAACTGTTCTTTTTCACTTCCGTAGGCCTGGGAAAGACTGGAAAAAGCAGAGCACGAGAGAGAACTGGCCCTGCGGAATGAGCTCATAAGACAGGAGAAACTGGAACAGCTCGCCCGCAGATTCGATCGCAAGGCGGCTATGAGAGAGACTTGGCTGAGCGAAAACCAGCGTCTGGTGTCTCAGGTTCTGTTCTAGACGTTATTCGAGAAACTGCTCTCAGAGGAATCTAGAATTGTAGACCATGCCCAAGGGCCATAGGACATCTGCTTTCCAGCATCCAGTGTTCTGAAGTAACTGTCAAGTCATCTTGCCCACTTGCCATGAAGAGGATGTTTATAATTTCTAGTAGACTTTCTCTTCTATTTATTTAACTTCATAGATTTGGAAGTAGTTCAAGCAGAGTTTGGTTCACACACACTCACTGGCTGTAAACATTCTCATTTATATAATTTTTTAAAAATTTCCCTCTTGCCCTCAATCTTTGACCAACTAATTCTTGAGGCAGTTAGACTGGTGGTGAAATAAATACAAGTGACTTTCTTTTCTGCTTGGCTTGACATAACTATCACCTGCTCCAGTATCATGAGTCAGGGGCTAGATACAAGCTGGACCACTCTGTAAAAGGAGAAGTTGCTTGCTGGTTTGCTTTGAGGAGGGCATCTGAGCTCCAGCACAGAGCTTCAGAGGGTCCTAGGGAAGGCAGCGACCAGCAGAGGAGCTCAGCTCAGGAGTTGGTGTTTGGCTTTAGGACCAAAGATTAAGGAGTGCTCAGGATTCCGCCTCTGTTCTCTATTTCTTTGTTCCAGTCAGAAGGCTTTTTTATTTTGTGTTTCTTTTCATTCCATTTCTCTGTAGGACAACTTTGGATTTGACCTTCCTGCAGTCGAGGCCGCCACAAAAAAACACGAGGCCATTGAGACAGACATTGCCGCATATGAGGAGCGTGTGCAGGCCGTGGTAGCCGTGGCCAGGGAGCTCGAGGCGGAGAACTACCATGACATCAAGCGCATCACAGCGAGGAAAGACAATGTCATCCGGCTCTGGGAGTACCTGCTGGAACTGCTCAGGGCCCGGAGGCAGCGTCTCGAGATGAACCTGGGGCTGCAGAAGATATTCCAGGAAATGCTCTACATTATGGACTGGATGGACGAAATGAAGGTAAACCTGACTGAAATGAGAGGCCAGAGCTGATCCAGTGAGGCCTGTGTTTTCTGGGATCCACTCACTAATCCCCCACCATACAGTTGTGCCCCTTGTCCAGCTGCCCACTTCTAAAGCCAGAGAAGGACCACATCACCCATGGGAAGACGGTTAGCTCACAAGTTAAATGAGGTGTGAAGTGTGAAAAAGTTGTAGTGAAGACTGGTTTGTAGCTAGAGATCTGCGACTGTGATTGAGATCTAATTTAGATATATTCCACCATAGGGAATCAATCAAATTGTGGTTTTTTTAATTCTTTAGAGTTGAACTGGCTTTCTATCTCTTTGATCCATGTGTGAGTGGCTCTAGCTTGGGGAGGGGGTCCAGGCAGGTGGTGTGGGTAGGTGGGAGAGTGGTAGGCAGCAGTGTTCTCGGGGTGCAGGTCAGGAGCCAGGCACCCAGAGTTCACATTGTGAGTCCCAGAGCTGCCTGATCTCCTTGAGCTTCCTTTCCTTGTCTTTAAGTGGAGGTCGTAACCATCTCCCTCGTCGGGTTACAGCGAGGATTAAATGTGGTAATATGTGTACAGATCTTAGGGCGGGGCTAGTTGCAAATGGCTGCCAGTGCCGATTTGTGCTTCCCCTTCCATTGTTGACATCCCTGAGCATAGAGTCCTAAGCTTTCCCCCAACCCAGCAAGAGGCCTGCCGCTGTGCCATACCCTTGTGCCCATTAGTATCCTCTAATGCAGGCTGTGGAGAGCTCATCCACGTCAAGCAGTTCCCCAGCTGGAAGCCATTTAGCCTTGTAGCTAGAACAGAACAGGGCAGTTTTCAGACAGTACCATGAAGCCTCCATTATCTCAGCACGTTGTGTTCCCAAGCTTGACCTTATGCAAGGGGTTTCCTTCCCGGGATGTATAAGCCATCGTCTTTTCCTCGCCTCTTGAACTATTCCAACCAGAAGGGCAAGGTGACCTGATACCGTCAGTTTTCCCTGTTATTGTCCCATATTTATGATGTTCTCAGGTTGGGCCTGTCTTGCCCTCTTAAAATAGGAATGTTCATGAAATCTTGCAGAGAGATGCTTTTCATTTTATAAATTATGATGCACATTAGAATTCAGATTGGGCCAGAGACGTCCTCAGAAATAAGAGTGAAGTTGAATATTCCATCTGGAGAGGATGTGGGATGAGGCCCCCAAATTGGGCTGATAGAAGAAATAAAAGAACATGTTGGTGGGTTCAAACTTACACCAGAGTAGTTGCTCGGGGCCTGCTGAGCATGACAGCTGCCTGACCCTGTTCTCCCTACTTGGTTAAAGTTGTGGTTTGTAACTGGATTCTTCTCCCATTGATTATGGAAGTGTCGTGGAGGCATACCTATAAGCTTTTAACCGAGGAAAGCATTCATTTAAGGGGTCAGCAACTTCTAGGAGATTTCTTTAAACTCTGAAGTGAAATAACTCTGTTACCTTTATCCGTTAGCTTCTTGGTTAGTTGTCGCTGCAGCGGTTTCTTCTTGGAGCCCTAGATTACATTTCATATCAATCGCCCCTCCCTCCCTTTTCCTCTTTTCTGTGGTTTTTAGTGTAGATTCGACTTGCTTATTCCAAGGTAGATGATCCTTAGTGTATTATGTTTCTCCTGATTCAGGCTTTCCGGTTTGCTTTGTTCTGCTCTGGTTTGCTCATCGTCATCTTCCCCTAAAGATATGGGGAGGATGGCTTGCTAGGGGGAGGGTGCAGCTGGGTTGCTGGCTCTCAGCCTGTCCAGAGATGATGAGTAGCTGAAGTCAAGGTTGTATTCACAGGTGTCCTTTCTGTTGCCTCTTGTGCACAGGTGCTATTATTGTCTCAAGACTATGGCAAACACTTGCTCGGCGTGGAAGACCTGTTACAGAAGCACGCCCTGGTGGAAGCAGACATCGGCATCCAGGCAGAGCGGGTGAGAGGTGTCAATGCCTCTGCCCAGAAGTTTGCAACAGACGAGGAAGGTAAGGATGGACCGTTCCAGACATTACCTCCTAGTCACCAGAGGTCCATCTTTGTGGAAGTCGATAAGTTGTGTGTGGCAGTGGGGCTTTTGAGCTTCCTGTGCCGTTGTGGTTCCCAGTGGGTTTGTCTGCTGCTGCCGTGTTGTGGGTATATGAGATGCAGTGGGGTGGCCTTCTGAGCACTTTAACTCTGTCTTGCTTTTCTGAAATGAACTTGTCTTTTCCTTAAATACTCAAGTGCTGTTTGGTTTTGAGTGGCTTAAGGTTTGGCAGTGAAACTTTGCCAGACCACACTCGATGTACACCAGCAACCTGGTGTGGCTGCTCAAAACTCTCATGGCTTTCATGCTTGGTTGTGCATGTCTTTGTTTAAAGCATGTTTGGAAGGATTTGGTTTTGTTTCTTATATTTTAGAAACAATTAAAATGCAGCTGTCTTCTTTCTTAGAATTTATGTGCTTTTTGGTTCATAAGTGATCTAAAAATAATAACACTTGGGGCAAAAAAAATAACACTCCTCCCTGCTCTTCCAGTCAAGGTCCGAGAAGGTGCTCCGTTGCCCCATGATGTGGCCCTGCACTTAAGAGTTGACCTGGTAATCTAGTAGTAAGAGCATGGGGTGTAGCTTACTGCCTGCAAATGAGCAGGAACCTATGCTAAACTCTGTCACACACCCACGTTCCTTCCTTGGCATTAAACAGGTTACAAGCCCTGTGACCCCCAGGTGATCCGAGACCGAGTGGCCCACATGGAGTTCTGTTATCAAGAGCTTTGCCAGCTGGCAGCTGAGCGCCGGGCCCGTCTGGAAGAGTCTCGTCGCCTCTGGAAGTTCTTTTGGGAGATGGCAGAAGAGGAAGGCTGGATACGAGAGAAGGAGAAGATCCTGTCCTCCGATGATTATGGGAAAGACCTCACCAGCGTCATGCGCCTGCTCAGCAAGCACCGGGCGTTCGAGGACGAGATGAGCGGCCGCAGCAGCCACTTTGAGCAGGCCATCAAAGAAGGTGAAGACATGATTGCGGAGGAGCACTTCGGGTCAGAGAAGATCCGAGAGAGGATCATTTACATTCGGGAGCAGTGGGCCAACTTGGAGCAGCTCTCGGCCATTCGGAAGAAACGCCTGGAGGAGGCCTCACTGCTCCACCAGTTCCAGGCAGATGCTGACGACGTTGATGCTTGGATGCTGGACATCCTCAAGATCGTCTCCAGCAACGACGTGGGCCACGACGAGTACTCCACACAGTCTCTGGTCAAGAAACACAAGGATGTGGCAGAGGAGATCGCCAACTACAGGCCTACCATCGACACACTGCATGAGCAAGCCAGCGCCCTCCCGCAGGAGCACGCGGAGTCTCCAGATGTGAGGGGCAGGCTGTCGGGCATCGAGGAACGGTACAAGGAGGTGGCAGAGCTGACGAGGCTGAGGAAGCAGGCGCTGCAGGACACCCTGGCCCTGTACAAGATGTTCAGCGAGGCTGATGCCTGTGAGCTCTGGATCGACGAGAAGGAGCAGTGGCTCAACAACATGGAGATCCCAGAGAAGCTGGAGGACCTGGAGGTCATCCAGCACAGGTGAGTGGGGATGCTGCTGGGGGTGCCAGCCCACCCCTCATTACCACCAGTGACCAAGGAGGTGACTGTCTTGTTGAATTGCCTTTTCAGATTTGAGAGCCTAGAACCAGAGATGAACAACCAGGCATCACGGGTCGCGGTGGTGAACCAGATTGCACGACAGCTGATGCATAGCGGCCACCCAAGTGAGAAGGAAATCAAAGCCCAGCAAGACAAACTCAACACAAGGTGAGCGTGAGCCAGGGGTGTGCTGGCTCCCTGCGTTTGGGGCTGAGGAGGGCGAGGTCACTTGCCAAGCCTTGCTGTCAGGAATTTCCTGCACAGCGTCACTGGCATTGTGGCGCTGATGTCATGGCATTGGCATCTGCCTTTGGACATACCCTAGTGTTGCAAGAAGTGTCTTTTGGGGTGACATCATTCGGGACAGCCCAGCACCTGCCCCTCCCCACATCAGAAGTTAGGGCCTTGGTGAGACCTGTACACAATGTGGTAGATGATGGCATCAAGTTGGCACCTGTGCTGTCCATTTTAAGATGACTTCTGGAACAGGACTTGAGCATGTTTGAGAGATAATTGGCCAACGAAAGTCCTGATTATCAAGGTAGACCTTTGTCCTGGTCTTATCTTTCTGTTGAATAAACACATTTGAATAGGTTGTGGTGGCACGATGGCCTCAGTTCTGAAGGTTACTGTCAGGTTGGGTTTGGAATATGTTCATTGGGTGCAGTTCAAAGATGAGTAAAATGTGTATGGCAGTTGGGGGACAGATGTGTTGTCACTGCTCATGTTGGAGCTCTTTAACAAGTCCCTGTTCACGTCAAGCTCTTTCCAGATTATGTTGTGTCCCTGAGCTGTTTCAATGATATTTGGTGTCCATATACTGAGTGAGAGCATTTTCCAGAAAGCATTTAGTCAAAGCAAAGATGGAGAAAAAGAAATTGCAGCTTTGACCATCACTGTTAGTTTCATTATCCAGCCATGAGCTTTCAGCCTCTCTTTCACACCACTCTCCTCCAACCCCCTGCACTCACAGGTGGAGTCAGTTCAGAGAACTGGTCGACAGGAAGAAGGATGCTCTTCTCTCTGCCCTGAGCATACAGAACTACCACCTTGAGTGCAATGAGACCAAATCCTGGATTCGGGAAAAGACCAAGGTTATCGAATCCACGCAGGACCTGGGCAATGACCTGGCCGGCGTCATGGCCCTGCAGCGCAAGCTGACCGGCATGGAGCGAGACTTGGTGGCCATTGAGGCGAAGCTGAGCGACCTGCAGAAGGAGGCGGAGAAGCTCGAGTCTGAGCACCCCGACCAGGCTCAGGCCATCCTGTCTCGGCTGGCCGAGATCAGTGACGTGTGGGAGGAGATGAAGACCACCCTGAAAAACCGAGAGGCCTCCCTGGGAGAGGCCAGCAAGCTGCAGCAGTTCCTGCGGGACCTGGACGACTTCCAGTCCTGGCTCTCCAGGACCCAGACGGCCATCGCCTCAGAAGACATGCCCAACACCCTGACTGAGGCGGAGAAGCTTCTCACCCAGCATGAGAACATCAAAAACGAGATCGACAACTATGAAGAGGACTACCAGAAGATGAGGGACATGGGCGAGATGGTCACTCAGGGACAGACCGACGCCCAGTACATGTTTCTGCGGCAGCGGCTGCAGGCCTTGGACACTGGATGGAACGAGCTCCACAAAATGTGGGAGAACAGGCAGAATCTCCTTTCGCAGTCCCACGCCTACCAGCAGTTCCTCAGGGACACGAAGCAGGCTGAAGCCTTTCTTAACAACCAGGTAATGTTCATCCTTGCCTTCACTTCCTATTCGAGCAGGCTCTGCTTGTGTATTGAAACATATTGGCCGGCGCTACTGGTTTAAACCACACCTGTGATGTAAATGAAATTAGATAATTTAGAGACATGTTTTCCTTGACCTCTGAGTCATTGAAACCCATTACAACGTAGGGGACAGGAATTGAGGAATTCCATAGGAACTTTCTTGCCTTGCAAAATACAGATTTGTTTCAACTACTGTCAAGGACCTCTAATGTTCATAGAATGTCCTCATAGTATCTCATTAAATTGGCAACATTCTGTGAGATATTAATTCAATGGAAAATGTACAGTGAGGATTTTTTTTTTTTTTGGTGACCAAATGCCTCTGTCTTCCTTGCTCTAGAAGAGCCAGGGACCTCACCTGATGACACAAGGCAGAGATTAGGAAAAAAAAATAGCTGAGGATGGTGGGCAACATCAAGGTTGCTAATCTCTCTTAAAAAAGAGAGTTTGAAGGGTGTGTTGCTGCTGCCTTCGTGGACCCATGAGAAGACCTTTCTGGCTGATGCACAAAGCTTTGTTTGCTTTCCTTACTCACTTTGGGAAAAAATTTACTGCATTTAACCAGTTAAGGAAATTTAATCACTTTTATGGTATCCTACTGGCTTTTTTTCCCCTCCCAACTTTTTGTTTTATCTGACTCAAGGGATAATTTTATTTAAGTGTAATGAAGCAAGTGTTGTGAAGTATGTTGCATGGAAATTTAGGGCAAAGGAAAGAGTGCTTGTGTTATTCTGAAAGTGAGTTATATTTCATGAAGTCTCATCTTGCTATGCTTTTATCTTTTTAAATAAGGAGTATGTTTTGGCCCATACCGAAATGCCCACCACCTTGGAAGGAGCTGAAGCAGCTATTAAAAAACAAGAGGACTTCATGACCACTATGGATGCCAATGAGGAGAAGATCAACGCTGTTGTGGAAACTGGCCGGCGGCTGGTGAGCGATGGGAACATCAACTCAGATCGCATCCAGGAGAAGGTGGACTCTATTGATGACAGGTACGGTGTTCTCACGTTCCTAAGGGGGTCTTGCACCCTGGGACTCTCAAGCATTTGAATCATTGGCCGAAAGTCCTTGGGACTGTGGGTATAAATTTCCCAGGGGACAAGATATGGGCACCTAGCAAAATTTAGTCTGCCTATCACAGAATCAGCAATGCATGGCTGCCTGAGAATGTGGTTCTCGTTGTCAGACATGTACAAAAGAAAAGCCTGAGAGGCCAAACAAATCCTTAACTTAAGACTTATAGGAGCAATAATGCTGAGTAGCATTCGGGGGTAAGCCATGCCCTTCAAAAGTTGATGCACTGCATGTCACCCGACGGGACCCTGAGAGCCAGACACTTGCTCAGCGAAGCCCACATTCCCCCTTATCCACACAAGCCTCCGCTGAAGCCTTTCAGGAGGGAGCGGGGAGGGAGAGAGAGGTTGGCTTGTCCTGAATACCTGGCAGGGCCACAAAGGAACATTATCAGGCCTTTCTTAGAAAATTGGCTTGGATGATGCTGTAATAGGATCTATTTCATCATGAGAGAAAAGGCCCTTTTCGTCTTCTGCCAAGGCATCTCTAGGACTGGATGGATGCTCTTGTTTTATTTCTATTGATTTATTTATTTGCAGTTTGGAAAGATTTTTCTCGCTGACTGAAAACCATGTACTCTGCTTCACTCTCCCCTCTAATTCTCACCCTGCCTTGGTTGTTATGGAAGTGGGAGTTCAGGGCAGGTCAAAATGTGCATGCGCCTGCACGGGCTGGTTCTGGGCTAGCCTCTTCCATCTTGGTCTGGCCCTCTGGGTCAGTCACTGGCCTCTATTCCAGCCGATCTTCTCTGGTCCTGGTTGGGTTAGGGCTGGATTTAAGGGCTTATTGTGAGACTGATGTCATGGAGAAACAAGCCCTTCCTCAAGGCTTCTCCTCTGACCTTCAAGTGCAGTGAAAAGGAAGAACTTCCTGCCAAGAGCGTGTCTTTGTTGACCATCTCTAAGAGGATCCCCTGGGACCCTGGGCCTAATTAACTTTTTGTGATATGGGGTGGAAAAGGGAATTACTCTTTGCTCATAAAGATTGAGCTTCTGGCTTTGGCATTTCCAGTCCATCTTTTGCTCTGATTTGAGCCTAAATCACATGTTTTAAGGGTAGTACTGTGGAATTGGGTATAACATATGTCAATTAAAATTTTGTATCTGTTGCTTTTAAAACAGCTACAAAAAAGAAAAGTCTTTCCACCAAACCCTTCTTAAATGGGTGTGAGAAAAAAGGGTTGGACAAGGCATTCTTAACTTAGAGAAAAAGAATTTCCTTTTTTCCTGATGTTAAATCTCTGATTATTTTGTAAATATGATACCCCATGTTCCTCCGTGTTAGGTGCACACAGCTGGTTTCCTGAAGGCAGGCTTGGCCATTAGGCACACGTGCATTCAGGCAGCTGCCTTGCAGCTTCCTCTGTGTATTTGTGTGTCCCCCGGTGCTGCAGCTATGAGGGGTTGTTGGAAGCAGGTGATGTTGTCAAGACCGGAGACTCCTGGAAATGGTTATTTCCCAGCCCTTGGTTACGGGTTAACCTTCCTTTTGCCCTTGACTGAGAGCCTGGGCTGCTGGGGTTCCAGAGCCTCCTTAGGATTTCTGTTTTTAAAAAGAAATGGTGAAAGGATTCTGTACTATCCATAAGCATAAGAAAGATGGAAAGGGGAGGGGGCTTTCCACTGATCTGCCCTCAGGAGGACTACGTTTTCTTATTTTCCTCCTCTTGTGTTAACTGAATTCTGGTTTCTCTTTAATATCCCCAGAGGCCTCAAGATCTGAAACTGATCCCAGAGGATACTTGTCTGTTATGAAAATATACAAATCTGTGAGTTCCAGATGGTGTAGGGGCACAAACTAAGTAAACATCTAAACCTTCAGATCTAATACCCTGTCCAGAAACGTTCTGACACTCTTGTGAAACTGTTTTCAAAAATCATAATGTGCCTACGTTCCGGAAATCTTGTCGATTACCACTGAGTTTGTTGAAATGAAAAAGCACCAGAACAAAGACGCTGACTCTTAGCAGATGTGGGTGGGGCGCAAGTGGCCTTTTAAGTGCTTGTGACTGAGTGGAAAGGAGCCTGCTGTCCAAGCCAGCCCTGGGGGATGCGAATGGGTGAGCTTCCTGGCTCAAAGGAAAATTCCAGCCACAGCATAGTCCTGGGAGAACAAGGAACAGTATCCAGCTTCATAAAGCTAGACCCTATGTCACATGGGGAGAAAAGCTTAAAAATTACCAACCTGTTATACTCAGGCACCTGAGGTTCTTTACTTTTCACAAGAATCTGGGTTAAACCCAGCATCTGCCCCATGTGATGAGGGAGCTTTTGGGTCTTACTATAGGGGTAGGAGGTGAGAGATGGGAATAAAGCAAGAGATTTAACCTTGCCCTGAACAAAGAGTGCTCTTAGGACTGTGGGAAACTACGGCCAAGTTTTAGAAGGGTCTTCCCTATAATTAAATCCATGATCCAGCCTTGAAAGACCTTTGCGAGTTTCACTTCCCATGAATGCCATCCGTTACCACTAGTAAACAGCTAAGCCACACTCACTTCTCTCGAGGGTTTTCTGAGTCAGCAACAGTTTCGGCTGCCTGCATAGCTGTTTTTCACTCTGCAGAGCACATCAGTCAAAGGCCATCATCTTGCCCTCTCCTAGATCTGTGCCATTTGGACATGGGGCCCTAAATCACCGTTTGGCCTTTTCCTTCTTCACAGTCCCACTGTAAGAGAAATCCCCCACCACAGAAATCTGCTGGGCACATGTCAAACTTGGTTATATAGAGATAAATTCAAGATTCTGTCTGGTTGTATCTCTCTTAGTGAATCTTCTCAGTGTTTACAGTTATTTTTATTTCCAGTATTTCCCTGAGCTTCAAGGATGTATGTCCTGTTGTAACTGCTGGTGTCTGAGTCTCCCTTGCCATCATAGCTCTTTCGTGTGGCACTGTGGAAGAGAATGGGATCTTTTATTCCAGGCCTTTCACCAAAGGCAGGACTCTCGCATTTTGTGCCTAACTCCAACTCAAATTACTTTTCTCCTAAAGATTTGCTTTATTTTCTTAAAACCCCCTACAAATAGTGACTGGAATTTGAGGGTAGGGAACTTGAAGAACTTTTCTTGACGTTTCTTCCACACCCACATTTTTAGATGGCTATTCCAAACTCACTAAAAAAATTTTTTTTTTTTAATTTCTGGTCTCTGAGAAAGGATAGCAATGAAGTAAAGCGGCTTTGGTCTTTATTTTTTGGTGTTATAAAAGCAATAGAATGTTAAAAGTTTAGGGGGGGAAACTACTACCTTTAATCTCATTGTAGCACATGCCATTTTAGTTTTTGCTTTCTAATCTGTGCCTTGGGAGTTTTATATCATTGAATATTCATAAACTCTTCATTTAACATTATATAAGAAGTATTTTTCTATTTTTGCATTTTGCCTAAGTGGTATAAACATAGTAAGATCCCTTTTTCTGAAGCTCTGAAACCCCTTTCAACTAAAAAATAAAATTAAAAAGTCATTATATGTGTGTAGCATATACCTGACAGTATTATTTCCATTCGTGTTATTCCTGTTGTTCTGTGGTCACTGGTACCTCTAGGAGCAGAGGGCATTTCCCTTCGGCTCCCCGGGCAGATCACAGCTGCAGTGCTGCCTCTGTCACTTGTTTTGCCAGCACTCACTGAGGGCCCACGTGACACATGGCATTGCTGTAAGATCTGTCTTGCTCCTCAGGAGGATTCTTTAAAAGTCAGTCAGCAGCAAGTGCCCACTGAGCTGCTCTTTCTTGGCATTGTGGGAAATCAGAGGTTGTGTGCTTCCTCAGCCCTGCCATAGGGGCCTGGCAGAGCTGGGCAAGAGACCTTGCCCAGGCACGTGCAGCAAGAAATTGCTCTGAGAATCAGAGTGAAAACCCAGACCTCTTCATTTGCATTCTGTTTCTTTACCACTCTTAATACCCTGCACTTAGGCTGCCTGGCTTGCCTAAGTTACTCAGGAATATCGGGGAAGCTGTGTTGTGGCAGTGCTGATTCTCTGTGTGATGTAGTCCTCGTGACTGCGGTAGAATCATTTAAAGGCCGTCCTTGCGCGGCACTCAGAGCATCCACCTAGCTATCCTTCACAGCTCTGGTGGAGAGCCTAAGCCACTGGGCGCGTGTTGGAATTTTGCCAGTGAGTTCTGGCACTTCCACAGTGTGTGTGAAGAAGCTGTGTCCGGCGTTCCAGCTGGGGAGTGAGCACCCCGTTTCCCTTTTGTTCATAAGTTCAGCAGCTCCTTCTAATTCTTACAAGTTCTTTGTTTAAGTTTTTGTACTTAAACTTCTTAAACCTTGATTACTCTTATCTATTTAGAGTGGGGTTGAGTAGATAGAAATCTCAGAGGTCCAAAAATTTTCGTTCCTGGTTTGTTGTTTTTGGTGATCTTTTCTCAAGATGGGAATTTGTTCATCAGGAAACATTAATTTAAAGCCAGTTACATGATAGTATATATTTTCTTAGCCATGTGTATGTCCTGTCACCTAGTTATGAGTTTCTTGAAGGTAAGTTTCAAATTCTCCCACAGTGCCTAAAATGGAGACTTGAAGAAGTGATGCTCAGATTTTTTTTCCTAGCACCAGATGAGGAAGCACAAATTTATACAGCTTATTTGACTGCATCCCTGGCCTGTTGTGTGGCTTGAACAGGTGTCTTGGTCTCTCTTGTACCGTGGCTTACTCATTTGGAAGATGCTAAACTGGCTTGTTTATCTTGTCTCCTTGACGTAATTGAGAACTGTAAGCAAACCGTTTTCACTTTATATAGAAACCCAGGAAAGAAGTTGAGTTTTAAATTCTGCTTTTCAAAATTTTCTCCCTCCCTTTTTAAAAATTATTTTTATTATCATTATAACAGACATAGGAGGAATCGTGAAGCAGCCAGTGAGCTTCTGATGAGATTGAAGGACAACAGGGATCTTCAGAAATTCCTACAAGATTGTCAGGAGGTATGTCTCCCTTTAACCTCTCCCTTCCTTGTTTCTAACAAGAGCTAGCAAACATTTGACAGAAAAGCCCTTGGGATTATAAAATTAATTGAGGCCAGAAATTCATATCACCTCTATAATTTGTAGGTGGGGCAGTTTGGCACCTTGTCAGTTCTCCAGCCTTACAAGCTACCACCAGAGTAACTAGATTATTATAATCTAGAATATTATAGTCCAGAACTGTGCTGTCCATCTCAGTAGACACTAGCCACATGTGGCTATTATATTTTAAGTCAATTAAAATTAAGATAAGAGTATAGTTCCTCTATCATACTGGATGTATTTTAAGTGCTCAGTAGCCAACTGTGATTAGTGGCTGCCATATTGGGTATTTCCATTGTTGAAGACAGTGATATCCTAGAATATTCTATAACCTAAAAAGCATTTAATATTATGTTTTAACTATTTAAAGTAATGTACATTTAATGGTGTGGAAGGAAAAGACTAAAGAAACTGGAACTGGCTACCCAGGTAAGAAGCAAAGATTAAAAAAATAAAACCTGAGTTTCTTATTCACTGAAGACCTTGATATATACATCTTTCGTGCTCCTTAGATATACATCTAAGATGCCAAGAGCAGTAATCCTGATTTCAACTCTTGAGTTGAACATGTGGTATTCATCTGATGACTCTCGTACTATTTCATGCTCCCCTGATAAACACATAAACAAACTTGGAAAACTAAGGTTAGCTAGAAAAATGCAGTCTCTCTGCAAGCTAGTTGGAGAAAAGCATCCAGCTGACTTTACATGCGTGAGTTCATGAGCACATCGTATTTCTCTGGCAGAGAACAACAGTGTGACTCAATCCTCTCTGGTTTATTAGACTAAATCCCCTTGGAGGCAAAAACGGGATGAAGAATATCCAAGTGAAGCTGCAGGGACCTTGGGGAGTGGGGTTAGAGAGTATGGGGACAGGATCAGGTCGTGTGCTAAGAATATGACTGAAATCATTACAAACATCTTATATGCGAACGTGTGGCTGTGTGTTAAAAAAAATACAGCTCAACAATGATCATGTTAGATCATGTGACAGAAGCGATCTTTCACGTCCATTAAACTGCTGTCTTACTGCGAATCTTGCAATATGCTCTAGCAGCTAAACCTTAAGAAGGAAAGCCCCTAAACTATGTAGTTTAGGGTCTATCGGCTTTCAGTGCCACATTGATGAATGCAGGTCTCTGGGGGATTTGCCTGGAGCTGGGCAGGCTGAAGACAGGAGTGCCTCTTCAGGTGCCGTCCAAGCACGAATAACCTATTTGAAAAGGATGCTCATGGAAAGAGGCATTCATGGCCACAGACAGGGTGGGAGCAGACGAATGGGAGGTACAGTCAGCTGTGTGGAGTTGCATTTGTGCTGCAGTGAGTACCAAGTGCCCTTTAGCATTGGAGGGAGTAAAAGGGCTCAGGACGAGTTTACAGCCTGGGCTGTGCCTTCCAGAGTCAAGGTCCCTGTATTACCTTGATGTTTCCCTGGAAGCACCATCAATGACTGGTTTTAACCTTAGGCCATAATGGAGTAGGAATCAATAGGATTCCATACTCTCCCTTAAAGGGCAAGTTAATGAGATGAAATTCCTTGAGTTGAGCCTGGTGAAACCTGGTCTAAATTTGAGAAAAAGAATGCCAGGAAATGAGCGGGAGGTGAGGGGACAATAAGAAGCCTTGAGAGAAACCCAGTTGCAATTTCCAGCCCCCTATTTTTCTTTTACATACATGTGGGTTCATAAATAGAAATGTGTGGAAAAAGGAAGTAAATAAAACCATAGTCCTTCCCAGGGGAATTAAGGAAATAGGCTTACTAGGTCTTTAGATCTTTGTTAACACTTGTTCCAAATTAGCATTGTTGGTTGTGAGGAGGAGTTCACTCCCCAACACACACTAGTGTGTTAGACATGCCCAGAGGGCTCGATCCTGTGTGATTTCCCCTCAAAGCATGCAGAAAGGTTTTGGCTGGGCTTGTATGTCCTGGAGAGGATTAGCAGGTCTCCTTGTGACTGCTCTGCCAAGGCTCACTGGTTTATCCTTTCTCTCCTCGAACCTCTTTAAAAGTTAGTACAACCATAGTGTCTGCTGGGGCGTGCCAGTGTCCCGAATCAGCATATGCAGTTTCTGTGCGGTGACAGAATTTAGGCTAGGTTTAGGGGCTCCAGAACCCTTGGTGTGGAAGCATAAGCAAAGGGGTGATGTGTATTGTTCTTTGGCTGTAAACTGTCCATCATTCAGCCTCATTAAAATATGCCCCTTTTTAGCCAGAATCTCTGAGAATGGAGTTTGTGTGTGGACCAGCCCTGCTTTTGAAAGTCTACCTCTTAAGCTGGTAGATATTTACAGAGCACCCAGAGCTCAGGTTTAATAGCATTGCTGGCTCTTGGGCATTGTTGGAGGTCTAGGGAATTCACGTTGTTCCTTTGTCACACCCTGTCCCTTGTGGGTACCTTGGTTAGAGGTGAGACAGGTTGTGACATCTGCTGTTGTTGCCAGCCCCCATAAGCACTGCCTGGATGGGGAAATTGATTGCAGCAGCAGTAGGGTGGGAATGAGCAGGGGCCCTCATGTTCCCAGTTATAGATGGGGATACAAAAAGCCTCATAATTTTTATAGTGTTATTTTAGTGTGATATCCTGAAAAATGAATGATGTAAAAAATAGTGCTTTTTTGCTGTATTCACTCACAGCATACCTCCTGTTTTCTGAAACTGAATTTTTTTTTTCAGGAGGGCCGTATAACTAGTGTGTGTGGCACAGGGATAGTGAGTTCAGTGCTTCACTGTGAGCTTAATTCAGTGATCAAAGCATTTTTCCTATCCCTTTCCAGTCTGCGCAGTGTTCTTTTCTGCAGAGACTGAGGATATTCTTAAATGACCTTTGTAAATGCCCACAGATAATAACTGTAGTTCTGATTCCAGAATGCTGATGAAGGGCTGATGAACTAGCAAGTTCCATAGATCCATTCCATTGTGCTGTATGGCATGATGCTTTATCTGTGGGATGATGTGTTCAGCAAAGAGCAGATTTGTTTATAAGCCTTTGATTTTTATGTAACTCTTTTTTTTAAATCTCTCTTGGGTAGGTGGTTATGAATAGCAAAAATATGTGAATGTCCTTTGCAATTTGGATAAATGCTTTCTATTGTGTTTAATCTGTGTATGTTTGTGTGTGTGGAATACAGGGGAAAGTTTTACCATTTTGTTTCCTTTTCATCCCTTTTCCCCTATGAATGAATGGCCATAGTATTTCAGATTTTAGCTACTCAGTTAACTGGAAAATAGGTAATTCTTTTCAAGTAGGAAATTTAGCGTCTCTGTTGTTGTGTAACAAATCTATGGTCTTTGCTTTCAAAGGGCGTTATGAGATTTACTGGTTCTTCCCCTTGATAAAGAGTGACATCAAAGATCTCACTGCCTTTTACTTTCAACCCCTGCCCCGTCCTGCGTGGTGGGTGAATATCTCGAGAAAGGTACAGATGGTGCCTGGAGTTCCCCACGGTCAGATCCAGGGGTGCTCCTGTGACCTGCATCACCCTCCTTGACGTAGTTTTCAAAGAACAGACTTTCTGTTGTTGAAGCAAATTTATGGAGAAGTCTTTCCCAGCAGCAGCCCAGAGTATGAGTGAATGGCCTTGGAAATGTTGATTCTGTAGGGGTTTCTATTGGTTTTATATGTCATTTCTAAACCTTTTGGAAATAGGACCATGAAGGAGTTTGGGTACAACTTGGTTGTGGCAGCGACTGATAATAAAAGTCACAAGGGAGAAGGGACACAGTCCCTGAAGACGTTTGCTTCTGGTTCCGGGCTGACCCTGCACTCCTTTGTATATCTTCTGCCTGGACAAACAAAAAGCTCTTCCTGGGCTAGTGCTGGGCATGGGGTAGTAATTAGGATCCTAGCCTGGCCAACTCCAGGCAGGCAGTAAGGAGCCAGGCGAATCGGGACGAAAGCCAGCAGGAGAAGTGTGTCCAGGGCCTCTGGCTAAGCTGACTCCCACCCCGAGCCTCATGAGAGAACTCCGTTCTCACAGCTGTCAGTGGCTGGCAGGCTTTGTGAGGATTTCCAGAGTTTAGATCCAAGTAGACATGTTGGGTCTCAAAATCAAGGCCTGTGAAGTGTTCTTGGACTGAATGGAAGGCCCTTTAGAGAAATAGCAGCTATAGAAAAAGAGGTGACGGTGACTCAAACTTGAAGGAAACATTGAGAGAGCATCATTGTTGCGGTCATCCCTACAGTGAGCAAGTTATTTATGCTTTTTGGCATTCCCATAGATAAACCCATGAAGGGGAGGGAGGGATAAAAGAGTGGAGTTTTTGTGTTTTTTATAGTAGAACTAAAAGAGTAAAAAGATTACTGAACGGAGTAAAAGACAGTTAATCATGATTAACATGGTATAGCTGGCATAGGTATTGGGAAGAGAAAGAAGGTTGTGACTTGGACTGGTTAGGGCAGAATTTTAAACACACGCCTTTGGGGTAAAAGCTGGTTAAGAGTGCCAAGCAGTTTGAAAGCTGACTCGGAGAGCTTTTGTACTTCTGGATTCAGTGTTAGATACATAGTTGGCAGCAAGGCTCAGGTACAGCCTCCATACAGTGGAGATGCCTGTCATGACGGGGCAGAGTTTTAAAGTAAATGTTTGGTTGTCTGTTGACATGGAAACGTGCAGTATGCATAGTATGACATACACAGCTCTGTCCAGGCAGAAAAAAAGGCTGATGTCTATGATCACAGTCTCTGAAACCTTCCTGATGTTTTTTTTCCTAGCTCTCTCTCTGGATCAATGAAAAAATGCTTACAGCCCAGGACATGTCCTATGATGAAGCCAGAAATCTGCACAGTAAATGGTTAAAACATCAAGCATTTATGGCAGAACTAGCATCCAACAAGGAATGGCTTGACAAAATTGAGAAGGTGAGTTAAAATGTTTGGTGAGGCTCCCATTTCCGCAGTGTGGCCGTGGTGAGAAAACGAACTGGGTGGAAATGAGCTTTTCATTTAGCACATTTTCCAGCATATTTGAATCACATCGGATCATATAGAAAAGTTACACAGCCCCCAGCAGTCCCACTTCCCCTCACCACACCCTGACTTCAACCCAGCAGAAGGGAGCAGAATAGCAGCGACCCAGCTAGGTGGTACAAAAAGGCTTGATTTATCTTTTAATGAAAACTAGGTGTTTAGTTTCTGTTGTGTATCTCTTCTCCTGCAGATGACCGAATGTGAGCCCCCGGGGCAGAGTCCCCACTATCTTGATCGTATTACATGTATTGGACTGTGACAGAGACTGATGAGATCCAGTTGCACAGAATTTAGAAATATTATGTATTTTAAGTTTTCCCTATCTTTCTTGTGTGACTACTGTATCCTAAGCACTATAATAATTTACATTGTATTATTTCGGCACAGAGAGATTCCATGCAGCATAACTGAACACGAATGTGAAGTTCCCTGCCCTCCCTTCTCTTTCTTCACACTTTTTATATTGTTTTAGACTGTTAATGGTTAAAATAATGTGTTAGGTCTTTTGGGGGTGAAGTGGAGGGGATGAAATCTTAGGTTCCTCCTATTGAAGCGATTTCTGCCTCCAGCAGTCACTTCTTGCTTGACTCCCACGAAAGCCATGTAGTGTGCGTAGACTAGGCCATTATCAGTTTTACTGAGCAGTAACTTCATGTGGAAGGACTCTATGTTGAATGAATTAGGTAAATCACAGATCAGATATCTTAAGTTTGTTTTTCACAGTGACTTTTGTTCTCCAGCAGACTGTATTTATTTGTGTTTTCCAGGAAGGAATGCAGCTCATTTCAGAAAAGCCCGAGACAGAAGCTGTGGTGAAGGAGAAACTCACTGGTTTACATAAAATGTGGGAAGTCCTTGAATCCACCACCCAGACCAAGGCCCAGCGGCTCTTTGATGCAAACAAGGCTGAACTTTTCACCCAGAGCTGCGCAGATCTGGACAAATGGCTGCATGGCCTGGAGAGTCAGATCCAATCTGATGACTACGGCAAAGACCTCACCAGCGTCAACATCCTGCTGAAAAAGCAACAGGCAAGCACGAGGCAACCACGTACTTGGGCCTGTGTCTGTTACTGCCATAGTCTTAGTAGTCTTAACTCACCCACTATGTTCTCAGCCATCCACCTCTATGTGAAGGGATTGTAACCCAGCTGTTTGCTCTGACAGCATCATGGAGCTTTCCAGAATCAACTGGAAAGACACAGTATTAGTACAATTATTGGGTGTCCGTGCATGGGAATACTGTTTTTATCATCGTCTTAGTTGATAGATAGTATCACCATTTAACAATTGAGTAAATATTCATTGTTCAGGGTACTTAATAGATAATAAAAGAAATTTGGGTTTTTTACATCATGATAGAACACTGTAAGGGCAAATGAATTTACTTCGAAATTATGAGAAAACAGCTTCAGTGAGGTTGAGAAAGCAAGTTGGTGGCAGAATCTTCCAGTGGCTCTCCTGGGTGAGTTTGCAGTGCATGGCCAAGTTCCAGGCCCAACAGTTCTGCTGAGAACCAGTCCCTGCAGGAGCATGTTTGCCAAGTGCTGAGTCTTGTTTCTTCAAAGTGACACCCACCCTACCTTTTGCTAAATGATGCAGTTTCTCTGCTCTTCAAGTTATTATACATTAAAGAGTGTTTTTATGGGTGGTTTTTAGTTGCAGCTGTTTACCTCCACTTCCTAAGAAAGGAATCAATTTATTCCCAGATACCATCCCCTATCTCTAAGCTGTCAGTATTTGGTCTTCGCAGTGTGGTGTTTCCTGAGGGAGACACCTCTGCTTTCACTTCCACTCAATTTTCCTCATGTAAATAAACAACTCGTATGTTTTCAGCTGATTATCCAGTATTTAAAAAAAGAATAATCAGCTTTCTGAATAAAGAAATTGAGAGAAGATGATAACATTAGCTGTCCTTCTTGCCTAAAAGACCTGGAACCTCAAGACTTGGTTCCTTTCTGATAGTTAAACTGGTTTCCAACATCGGTTATGGCTTCTGAACAGGCAGATGAAGACTATCCTTTCCCCATAATTAATTCTTATTTCCTCTGTCATTTGCCTCCTAAAGTTCCTATATAAACTTGAATGTTGCTCCCAAGTTTAAAAATCCTAGAAAGGGATTTTTAAAAAAAACAGCTGACAAAGTGGAATTCTAAGTGATAGTGTGATAGATGTTAGGAACCATTTCTTGGTCTCTCGTCTCTTTACATTAATATTCATCCATCTTCCATTTTGGCCAGTGTGAAAAACAAACAGTTCATAGGGTTGTCTGTGTTTCCCTGTCTCTGGTGTGAAGGTTGGTCTGTTTTCTGCCCTCAGATGCTGGAGAATCAGATGGAGGTGCGGAAGAAGGAGATCGAAGAGCTCCAGAGCCAGGCCCAGGCACTGAGTCAGGAGGGGAAGAGCACCGACGAGGTGGACAGCAAGCGCCTCAATGTGCAGACCAAGTTCATGGAATTGCTGGAGCCCTTGAACGAAAGGAAGCACAACCTGCTGGCCTCCAAAGAGATCCACCAGTTCAACAGGGATGTGGAGGACGAGATCGTGAGTAGACCCTCACCTGTCCTGCCTGAAGCCCGTGTTCTCGCTTCTCTGCTGGACTCACCTTGGGCCACGGTGGTGAGCTGAGTTGTAGAAGCTCATGCTCTGTGTATTCACACAAAATGCAACTCCATTTTTCTGTCTGGTTTTCTAAAGATATTCTAGGGTTTTCATGCCCCTAAAACAAGAAGTTTAGAAATAAATAAATAATGTGGATTCACGGTGAGTCCAGCGTTGAGAATGAAGTAAGGTCTGGGAGACTAGCCCTTGTCCTGTATTGGAGAAGAAGAGCAGGTTCCTCAGGCAGCCATTCCCAGTGGGATCGAACACGCTTTTCTCTCTCAAGCTGGAACTCCCTGTTGCCCTTGTTCGTGTCAAATATTTGTTCTTTTTGAGTGGTCCTGATCACCTATTTACAATTTTTTCTAGTTGTGGGTTGGAGAGAGGATGCCTTTGGCAACTTCCAGAGATCATGGCCACAACCTCCAGACTGTGCAGCTGTTAATAAAGAAAAATCAGGTAAGCATTTCTGCTCAGGCCAACTCAGTCTGATAAATAATTGCTTCAAATTACAAGGCAGCGAATGTGAGAGAGCTTTGAAGGCTTACGATTTCTCCTTGGCCCTCATGGCTTGGCATAAACAGTATGCTGTTGCAGTTTAGCAAGCCTTTCGTTTGTGTTGCCTGCTCCCACAGACCCTGCAGAAAGAAATCCAGGGGCACCAGCCTCGTATCGATGACATCTTTGAGAGGAGCCAAAACATCGTGACTGACAGCAGCAGCCTCAATGCCGAGGCCATCCGGCAGAGGCTTGCCGACCTGAAGGAGCAGTGGGGCTGCCTCATTGAGGAGACGGAGAATCGCCACAGGCGGCTCGAGGAGGCACACAGGGCCCAGCAGTACTACTTTGACGCGGCTGAGGCCGAGGCGTGGATGAGCGAGCAGGAGCTGTACATGATGTCTGAGGAGAAGGCCAAGGTGAGAGAGGGTTCTGGCCCTCTACACAAGAAGTGGAGTCCCATCCCTGCCCCAGAAGAACCTGTGACTTCGAGCTTGTTTTCTGCTGGGGGCTGTGTCTTTGTGAAATACTTCATTGTTGCCTTTGAGTATCATGGCGGCACAATGGTGCATAAAGGTGGCTGGAATCTGGCTATTTCTCTTTGATACAGAATTTTCTTGTCTGAATCTTGGTGTGTCATTAAGACTGGGTTCATCCTGCCTTTTCTTTTTTTTTTTTTAAATAGGAATTTGCCAGAGTCCTTCTTGCTTTTTCTAGTTATAGGATTACCTAAACTTTATAACATACAAAATGCTTTTGAGACAATTGGAAAGTATTTTAAGGTTCCAGAATGCTGTCATCTACATATCTGTTAGACTGTGAGGAGTTTCAGCCAGCCAGGATGTGCTTGGTTTGCCCAGGCTTTGCTTTATACCTCAGAGGGGTCTTGGTCATTCTGCATTGTCCTCATGTTCGTCTTTCACAGAAGCTTCCCACAGTCCGGTCCGTACTGACACTCTTGAAATGCTTCTGTGTTCCGCTGCCCCTATCACACTTATGGTTATTTTCTTTCTGATGATTTTTCCTCTTGCCCCAGATGCTGTCAGCCCATCCCTCTTTAAGGTGTGTTGGGTCGGAGGGGATGGCTGTGGTCGTGATAGTCACCTCTCTTTGCAGGATGAGCAGAGTGCCGTCTCCATGTTGAAGAAGCACCAGATTTTGGAACAAGCCGTGGAGGACTATGCAGAGACAGTGCATCAGCTCTCTAAGACCAGCCGGGCCCTGGTGGCCGACGGCCATCCTGAAAAGTGAGTGCCATTATGTAAAGATGATACTGGTCGATCACTTCTTCCCAGTAAGGACCTCTTACTCTGACCCATGCAAAAGGAAATGGTAGCATTCATTTTGAGTAACTGCTAATGTAGATCTTTGGGAAGCATTTGTAAAACAGACCCAATAAGCCTGTGCTGAATAGGAAGGGTGAACTGTCATATTAGGAAATAGCTCTTATGGATTAAATATCTCCTGTTGGCCAAGGCCCTATTGAGAGGTTATTGGTATCATGAGTCAGAAGTACAGATTGACTTGCACAGATACAGGTTATGAAAGCACCTACCCTTGGGTTGAAAAAGTCATCCAGTTTAGGAAAGTCATTATTAGCTTTAAGAGGAGTGGTAGACAAGAATACATGGACCTGTAAAATAAAAGGACTCCAGAGAAGAACAGAATGATACCACCTCCTAACTCTTATACGTCGAGTCCTTAGAACGCCTTAGGAGTTTAAAAAAAGAGGTATGTGTGTCATACTCCCTGACTGTATGCCAGGCTCACGAACTAACTTCAATGGCAGTTGTTTTGGGCTTTCTACGTAACTGCCTTTTATGACTCAGGAAGGAAAGGGATCGGCTTTGTGAGTTGACCAGGGCAAGTGGGAGATAAGGTCAACGGCTGTGTTGGTGTATTGGTCCTTCAGGTGTTCATGACCAGGATTCTCAGGAAAGTGTCCTTTCTAGTCTCCAGGGACAGGGATAAACAGGTCCTTGTTTCTTTGATTTCCTGTTACAAGACAGTCATTCTGGGGAGAAGTTGGAGGGAGGGGGATGCAGCACTCCCAAGACCCACAAAAGGGGAGCAGCAGGCTCTGCCCTCCTGGCAGGGGAGAGCATACAGCCCGGAAAAGGTAAAGGTGTGTGCCAGACGGGGATGTCTTTGGCCGTTCAGCAGCTTGGTACCTGAGAATGGAAGGTGGCTCCTGGATTTTGCATTAACTTTTAACGTCAGAGGAAATCCTGACTTAACAGAGCCAGCAGTGCAGAGAGTTAGGGTTTCTCTCCCCTCCCTCCACCATTACAGTCAGGATGGCCTTCGGCCTTAATTATTGTGCTTTTACATGTTGGCTCTTCATTACTTGAAGTTGAGGTCAAATTTCAGAGTTTTATATTTTAGGCTAAATAGGTTAACCAGAAGTTTCCTTCAAGAAATTTTATGTAACATGTTCTCTTGGCATTTCTGCCTCATTTGTTTTCTCCCTGAAGAACATTTGACATTTAAGGTCCTTTTCCCCCCACTGCCCCCACCCCCCCTTTTCCAGTGAGCGCATTAGCATGCGGCAGTCCAAAGTGGACAAGCTGTACGCTGGCCTGAAAGACCTTGCTGAAGAAAGGAGAGGCAAGCTGGACGAGAGGCACAGGCTCTTCCAGCTCAACCGTGAGGTGGATGACCTGGAGCAGTGGATCGCTGAGAGGGAGGTGGTCGCAGGGTCACACGAATTGGGGCAGGACTATGAGCACGTCACGGCAAGTACTCCGGGCAGAACGTGAGTGGTTGTGCAATGAGTGTTGGGTATGGAAGGCCATTTGCATTCCTTGTCTGTGAGCACATAAAACACCCCTTGACTGACTTGAATCATAGGTCACAGGGTTTAGTTTCAACTCTGTTTTTGTCACCAGACGACTTTGACTTAGATCGTTTAACCTCTCTGTGCTCCCTTCTCCAGTAGTACAAGGAGATGGAGGCAGTGCCTTACTCTGCTACAGTGAGCAAGAAGGAAGCCTGATTGATTAGAGGTTTTAGAGCTAAGATCTGTTCAGTCATGCATATTATTCGTTTCTTTCCAAAGGACGTTCATGTGATTAAGAAACCCTAGTCTCACTGATTTCTTTACACCCATTCCCGTTTCAGATGTTACAAGAACGATTCCGGGAATTTGCCCGAGACACAGGGAACATTGGGCAGGAGCGTGTGGACACAGTCAATCACATGGCAGATGAACTCATCAACTCTGGGCACTCAGATGCCGCCACCATCGCTGAGTGGAAGGACGGGCTCAACGAAGCCTGGGCTGACCTCCTGGAGCTCATTGACACGAGAACACAGATTCTCGCCGCCTCCTATGAACTGCATAAGTTTTACCACGATGCCAAGGAAATCTTTGGGCGCATACAGGACAAACACAAGAAACTCCCCGAGGAGCTTGGGAGAGATCAGAACACAGTGGAGACCTTACAGAGAATGCACACCACGTTTGAGCACGACATCCAGGCTCTGGGCACGCAGGTGGGTGGGGAGCTGCACAGGGGTGTGTGTGGGGGTGGTTTTCTTTCCATCAGCATCTTTGTACATCTCTGAGCATCTCTCTTCATTCCTTGGCTCCTCAAAACATGCCTCAAAGCAACAGATCTTAGCTCAGAGTGAATCTTGCCCAGCAAAAAAGAAAAAAAAAGAACGGGCCATGCTCTTGGGGGAGGAACAGGTGGTGGGGGTGACCAGGGTGGAGGAAATTAAAAAAAAAAAAAGTACCTCAAAGAATTGCCCAAGTTATATGCACATGCGTGCACACATGCACATTGTTATAATGCTCCGTTTGGGAGAACTTATTCCATAAAGTTCTGAGGTTGCCACATTTGCAGACATTGTTAGATGGACATCCCCATGATTAAAATAAACCAGATGCACACACAGACATTTGCAAGTTATAGACCTGTCAACAAGAATTTGTATTATATTAGCATAGCCATCCAGAATAATTTCCAAAATAAGACCTTATTATTTTCCATCAACTGGGGTCTGAATTATATATCCAGAAAGATGGAAAACAAGATTCTAATATTTTAATGTCCCTGGTCTTTTTCCCCCTAGTGTAGAATGGCTAACACTAAGACTTTGTTTAAAAGATGTTTGACCAAGTGTTAATAATGTAACAGTAAAAATCTGTGGTGTAATCACTCTATAGTTCGCTCTCTGCACAGTTTCTTGTTTATTCTTATGTCTTTTAGATGAAAAATAAGTTGCATCTTTTTTTTTCCCCTAAATTTCATGGTCCTAGAGAAGAAGCCAGTTTTGTTCAAGATACCAGCCCTGAGTTTATCAGGAGTTTTGTTCTTGTCTTTTAGAAGCGCATTGATAATCTAGCGCAGGGAAACTTCTGTAGAAGCTCACGAAGTAAATGTTTTTGGCTTTGTAGGACACAGTGGTCCCCGTTGCAGCTACTTAGCTCTACTATTACAGCATAAAGCAGCCATAGACAATATGAAAATAAAGGGGCATGGCTGTGTGCCAGTAAATCTTTATTTATAAAAACAGGCAGCCCAGGTTTGACTGTGGGCCGACCCCTGATATAGTGCATCAGCCTCATCACTCTCTGGTGTGCTTTGGGGTTTTCTCTGTGGAGAGACCACCTTTACTGCCGTTTTCTTCTCGCTTCCCCTTAATTTGCCCCTTGTAGAAGCAGAGGGACTTCTGTCACAGCTGGGGCTTTGTTCAGATTAAGTGGCTTCAGCTTCTCTACCAAGGAGGTAGAAGGTGTCGAGGGAATATTTAAAAAAGATGCCTGGAGTGGCTGAGGGTCTGCATTAAGCAGAATGTAAAAGGGCCCACCATGATGTAAGGGTTTCCAGTCTGTCTTTCAGAGCTGGTGGACTCCGGCTCTGTGAAAACTTGCCATCCAAAAGCTTGTCAGCTGCATGTTCAGTGGCTTTCATTACACGTAAGGTCCAGGAGCACCATATGAACATGTAAGGATCCATAACGATGCGGTCTGACATGTGGTTAGAGCAAGGTCGCTGGAGAAGGGCAGACCCTTGTTTGAAGTGGGGCCTGTCGCTCTGTGTCACTGCAAGTTTAATTTACCTCTCTAAGCTTCAGTTCCCTAACACTTTGAGGATTGAGATGTTTGTAAAACGTATGCCATAGCAAGAGCTCCGTGAATGTTCTCTGTTGTTACATAAAAAAGCTTAGGGGAACTTTTGGGAGGCCCAGAGGCAGAGTGAGAACACACCTGCCCGGCAGCAGGTGTTTCCTCTGCACCTGTAAAATCATTTACTTTTGGAACTTAAAAAGATTCCAGAGATGATGGAGTTGCTCCCTCATTTTTTAATGAAATCCCTTTACCTTGTGAGGCTCAGAGAGATGAGGGAGCCCATTGAGGGTCCAGTCACATCCAGGACAGGAATCCCCTCCCTCAAGCCTGACAGTCTCTACCTCAGGGTACCCACTGGGCTAGGCCATTTATAGCTATAAGAGTATGTGTGCCCTTTCTGCGGTTAATGACCCAGTCCAGGTTTACTAGAGCAGAAGGGAAGGCTCTTGGTGCTGGCTCCCAGAAGCCAGTGGTGTTTCCTTCCTGGCCATTTAACTCCTGTGTCAGCCTGACCTGCCACCATTCTCCGTGAGAGCAGTGGGGCACGAGGAAACAACACAGTGTTGGCACCGGATGGTGGTCTTCAGTGACTCCTCAGAGCTGTAGTTAATCTCTTATGCTGTCCTCCTGCACCTTGCTTTTTGTTGTGAGAGCAAATTAAAAACAGGTAAAGGTTGTTTTTTAAAAATTTTTTGAAATATTTGGTTAGTCATATAGGAAATTAGCTTTTCAAATAATTTCCTAGGGACTTGCTCGTTGTAATTTGAGTTATACCTGAGCCATTACCATGGAAACCAAATGATCATCTTTGCATCTTTTGTAGAAATTTCTTTTCCTTACCTACCACTACCTAAAGTCCCTCTGTGTAGTCGGGGTCAGTAGTCTACCTCCGCCCAAGCCCCAGTGTTGTCCATCCCCATCCCCTTTGACCCCACCTACACCCCCCACGTAGTATTTCCCCACATACTCCCCTCACAGGCATCTGAAGGCTCCTGTCATCCAGGACGACTGTTGTCTGGACGCAGATCACACAACCTACAACCTATCAGTGAATGCAGATTGAATGTACATTCCCCCATATGTCTGTATTTTTAATTAGACATAGTACACATGTATGACACTACTACTATGTATTTTATATACATAAAACATGGAAGAGAAGGAAATTTAAAAATATAAAATAGCCATGGTTATTAGTTTCTCTTGTAAAAGCATATCTTCCTCCCACTCCCCATCCCCCAAAAAAGGTGAAGCCTATTCTTGGTTTTTCCTCCTTTTTATGCAGCAAGTAGACATTATGCACACAGTCTGCACTTTGCTTTTTTCTCTTAGCCATCATCTTGGAGTACTATTCATATGAGAACACAGAGCCCTCCCTCATTCTTTTCCATGACTGCTTAGGGCCTCTTGTATGGATGTGCCATCACTAATTTAACCAGTCCCTCACTGACGGGTATTTACTTTATTTTCCGTCTTTTGCTTTTATAGACAATGCTACAATAATTAACCTTATGTGTATTTCATTTCCTAAATGTGCAAGAAAGTATGTAGGATAAATTCCCTAGAATGAGATCATAAAATCAAAAGGTACATGCATTTACAAGTTTGATGAACACTGCCCATGCCTTCTATAGGAGCTATAGCCTGTTGTCCAACCAACAGTGAATCAGCTCACTGGCAGGTAAATCATCAAACTTGAATTTTTGCCAACTGGTAGATGAAAAATTACAGCATCTGTGTAGCATCTTTTCATAAGACCCATTTGCATTTCTTATTATGCAAAGTTTTTGAAATTTGAATTTTGAAATTTGGCTAGTTAAAATTTTACCTTGTTAAGCATCAGTCAGTTTTTTCAAGTATATTAGTTGCTGCATTTTTATGTTTTTCAAGTTGAAGCGTCCCCTTTGAGAGCTCTTTACAGGTGATACGTATATTGTTTTCAGCAACATCACATAGCAAGGGAGGAGGCATTTTCAAAATGTGTTCTTCATGACAATTTCTCATTCATGATGAAAACGTCGTCTTTACCCTGAGGGAGCAGATTAGGTGTTTATTTTTTTAATCTGTCTGGATATGTACCATGTGGTTTCTGTACTGTCTTTATATCCCAGGCCCCCCTGGGGGACCTTTCCTCACCAAGATCTCCCGCCTGTGTTCCTGTAGCATTTCATTTGTCTTATCCTTCGTGCAGAACTTAACAATGTAGTTCAATACGTTTATAGTAAACTTGGGTTTTTGTGACTTGGATCTCCCTGATGAAATTGTGAGCTTCTTGGGTGGCAGGGGCCCCACTTGGACTTGGTGCTCCGGTTAGCGCGTAAGCAGACAGCATGTGGTGTGTGTGAAGGGAGAGCTGGGGCAATGGAGAGAAAGCCCTGCCATCTCACCTGGCTCATCTCCCCGTGGCTTCGCAGGTAAGGCAGCTGCAGGAGGATGCGGCCCGCCTCCAGGCAGCCTATGCAGGTGACAAGGCCGATGACATCCAGAAGCGGGAGAATGAGGTCCTGGAAGCCTGGAAGGCCCTGCTGGACGCCTGTGAGGGCCGCAGGGTGCGGCTGGTGGACACAGGGGACAAGTTCCGCTTCTTCAGCATGGTGCGCGACCTCATGCTGTGGATGGAGGATGTCATCCGGCAGATCGAAGCCCAGGAGAAGCCAAGGTAACACTCCTGGGCAGGAGGAAATCCGGCTAACTGACCCCAGGTTAATGCATAGAAGGGATCTTCCAGAGAGAACTAGAGGCCTTGCCTGAGAGTTCAAGGCTAGAGGAGGGTTGGGGGGGAGTTTGGGGGGAGCCACCGCTGTGTCCGTTGTCTCCTGCACATGGTTGCCAGGGAACGAGGGGCCCAGTGTCGTCAGGCCCTCTCCATTTCCATTTCTCCCCCGACTCCGCTGCCATGTTCCATGCTCACCCCGGCCCTCCTGCCCTCGTCAGTGACCTCTTGCCTTGAACATAACCAGCTCTACCTCACAATTGGAATGAGATGGCTTTTCTGTGTTTTTTTCCTCTATTAGATTAAAAACCACTCTATCCCTTTTCATACACATTACTAAGAGTGTCTCTTAACCCTCAACATCTACTCTAATGGCGTCTTGAGATTATTATTTGATATTTGTTCTATCTCGTCTCTTTGGTTGAGTTTCATACAGAGCAGTGAAGAGAAGCTAATAGGTGACAAGGCAGCACATATATAATCCCCACTTCACTCCTGCCAGCACCAGCCCCCACCGTAACTGAGAAATGAACTATGCTCCAAGAGAAGAAATACTTTTATTACTATATATGCTGTATACTATATGTATGTATATATAAAGCCACTCTGTTTCCTAGATCAAGACTTTCCAGTTCATTTTGATCTATGAAAAGCTCTTTCATCTCTACCAATCACTGATTTCTAAGCTAGTTCCCACTCTGTGTGTCTCTTCGTGTCTAATAAGGAGACGATATCAGCTGCTCTTTGGAACACGTGTCCTGAACCTTGGACAGCTAACTCACTGGGGTACGATTGGGGATGCCTGTTACTGCCTCTGTACCTTCTTGAAAAGAGTCCAAATTACATTTCAAGGTAAAAGTTTGAACAGAGATCCAGTGGTTTTTCTGGCACCTGGCTAGCAACCATTTTGAGTTACTCAGACACACACAAAAATGAGAGGAGCCTTGTTCTGTTAGGTTGCATAGCTGGTTCTGAATCACACTGTGACTGTGCTGTAGCTCCAGTGACCCAGCCTGAGCTCAGACTGTGAATCAGGCCTGAAAGGCATAGTGTGCCGTTGAACAGTGCCTTCAAATTAATTACGTGTTTTGAAACCTACATTTATTTGAAAAGCTCGATCTTCTAAAAGAGATATTGTCTAATTTTAGGGATGTATCATCTGTTGAACTATTAATGAATAATCATCAAGGTATCAAAGCTGAAATTGATGCTCGTAATGACAGTTTCACAACCTGCATTGAACTTGGGAAATCCCTGCTGGCGAGAAAACACTATGCATCTGAGGAGGTAGGAGGCCACTTTGCTCTGGGGCCCCAGGGTGAATGCAGCTGGTGTTAAGATGTAAAATGACTTTATTTAGTGAGTATGTATATATGTGTGTATGCACACACATACACACACAGGAATAGATAGGTTCTTATACACATATGCACATTCTTACACATTTCAGAACTCCGTCTTTCCTCTATGTGTAGAATAAGACAATTACGCAAGACTCTAGGCACAGAGCCAATCAGTCCGGGGCGCAGAAGACAGTTGTTGAGGGCCCAGGTTGAGGTTTCCTCCTCTCACCTCCTCTATCAGTACTCTTCCAGGGTGATGCCCCTACTCTGTTGCACGTGCCCTAAATGAGTTTCCTCTTGAGAACTTGGTTGCTAGTTCCACTTAGGGTGATGGTAATAAAGAGGCGAGTGTGGGGCCTCTTTAGGAGATTGGATGTTCTCGTAGAGAGGTCAGGGCTTTGCCCCTCGTGCTGTCTCTCTTCCTCAGCGTGTTTGCTGAAGAGAACACCAGAGTCTGGAGGGGGCTCAGTGTGCTGTTGGCCTCCTCATGACAAAGCAGCTTTGGGTGGAGCCCGGCCTTCCTCTCAGCCCCTTCTGGAAGGAATGTTGCCATGCTTTTCTCTCCTCTCCCGGTACACAGATAGGCTGAGGAGTCCTTAGATGTTTCCTGGCTTAGTGGTGGTCTCTACAGAAAATGTGTTTTTCTTATGTGAAGTGGCTCATCAAGGGGAGGACCAGGGGGATGTGGTACATTCTATTAAGATGTCCTTGGGGGTCCTTCTCTTCTCACAGATCAAGGAAAAGTTACTGCAGTTGACAGAAAAGAGAAAAGAAATGATTGACAAGTGGGAAGACCGATGGGAATGGTTAAGACTGAGTAAGAACATACTTAATCTTTCTGCTCTTTTTGGGTGTCCATTGAAAGCATGCGAGTTTATTTTCCTGCTTTAATTGATTTGATGTGGTGTTATCACTTAATGATTTTTTTGGAGTTTTAAATGCTTCTTTTTTAATGTCCTATTTCACCATTTCATGCTAAATATTTTTAAGTAGCTCCCTGTGGCATATTCCTTATTTTTCATCCCATGGTTGATCCCAGTGTTGTAAGCAGGATTTGGGTGTTTAGGAAGAACATGGGATGGCAGAACTCGGTATCCCTCTGGGAGAGTACAGACGGAAGCCCTCTCCTCCAATTGTCTTTAAGAAGAATTATTACTGCAGAGTCAAGCAAGTGGAAAGTTGGCCTGATTAGGTCTTATATTTGGTGCTCTTAGTAGAAGGTTAATAAAAGCTAGCAACTACAGAGGTTTTGCAGTCAACTGGGCGTTGTTCTAAGTGTTTTATATATTTTTCTGTATTTACTCCCCACAGTGACCCTCTGAGGTAGTTCTATTTTTAATCTCATGTTATAAAGGAACATGTGAGCTAACACAGTTTATAATTTACAGTGTTGGAAATAGCACTTAATAATTGGTATGAACACTGAAAGTAGTAGCCCAACTCCAGCGTTATTTACCATCCTCGCCATTCTGTGTTTGGGGCTCTGGGCGCTGTCCTTGTGTTGTAACCCCCTTCTCAGACACCAAGAGTGCTTACTAGAAACAGGATCCAAGAGGCCTTTTCTTAAAGGTGTGTTTTTACCTAGTGAGGACACTTCACCGTCTTGGGCCCAGAGCCCTCTTTTGAAAAAGAAATCACAGTTCTGACCATTCTTTGGGTGAGGATTTGGTCTGTAAATTCTGAGAATTCCCAGAGCAGGCTCAGCTCAGCAAAACCCCTGTTACACCCCACTGTGAACTAGGCACTGGGTGTATGCTGGGCATACAGGATGAGGTGACAGTCCCTAGTACAGTGGTGGCATCTTCTCCTTGTGGCTGTGTTGGGGGCCACCAGGGTGATGAAAAGAGACAGCCGGCAGCTCCTGGGGACAGATGATGCCTGCAGTCAATTTCTTACCTGAACAGCCTCCAGCATTGCTGCTTGAGATGCAGTGAAAATTCACGTTAGACGCAGTGCGAAGCCGGTTGTGACCTGCCTGCTCATGACTGCAGTGGAAACCATGCTGCTTTCTCACATGTGGGGACCCAGGCTGAGTAAAGCAGAAGCCTTGGCCCATATTGTCCCCACTTTCTGTAGTGCTCCCCATATCTTTCCCTCTCTCTCAACCTCCCAAAATAAAGCATAGAACTACCACCCCAGAAAGGGTGATGTATGAATGCCTGCTCCTTTAGCGTAATCTGGTTGTTATGTGGGTTGTGAATTCCTGCAGGGCTCTGAGGCTCATCTCACTGAAGTAGGGCTGAGTGAGCAGAGCACACCCTCTAGGCCTGCACTGTCCTTACGGTAGCCACTGTCTACATGTGGCTCTTGAGAACTTGAAATGTGGCCAGTCCAAATTGAGATGTGCTGTAAGGGTGAAATACATGTTGGATTTCAAAGATGGAAGGAAAAAAATGCCATATCTCAATAATTTTTTTATACTGATTACATGTTCCAGTGATAACAATTTGATACATCAGGTTGTCTAAAATGTGCTTTTGTAATTAATTTCACCTGTTTCTTTTTAATGTGGCTACTAGAAAGGTTAAAGTTGTATACGTAGCTCACGTTACATTTATGTTGGACAGTACTGATCAAGAGTAGACTGTAAACTGGCTGTGCAGGCAGCTGCCACCAGAGGGCGGTACCGTCCCTGACTGCCACGTCCCCCTGCTCACCAGCACTCACTCTTGGTACCCTGTGCAGTTCTGGAGGTCCATCAGTTCTCAAGGGATGCCAGTGTGGCCGAGGCCTGGCTGCTCGGACAGGAGCCATACCTATCCAGCCGAGAAATAGGCCAGAGCGTGGATGAGGTGGAGAAGCTCATCAAGCGCCACGAGGCTTTTGAAAAGTCTGCAGCAACCTGGGACGAGAGGTTCTCCGCCCTGGAAAGGCTGACAACGGTGAGTGACTGCTGGATGCCGGGGCGCTCAGCCTATTGGTTGTCATAGGCAACCCATTTTATTTGCTTGCCTCCTAGACTGGAGAATTTGCATTATTGCTCTGTTTTTAAAAGCAGTAAGGATTTTCGTGCAATTGGTGGCTCTCTCAGCACGGGACCTGGGGAGACTGCCCAGGGCTCCTACCCCCTCTGTCACATCCTGGACAACTTGATTTAGGATCACTTATCATAGCTTCCTGCTTGGGAGTCGATTGATTGGGGTTTGCTTTTCTCTTCTGATCTGCTTTTCCTCCCATATCTAATGGAAGCTTTGGTTTCTAGGAAGCATAGCCTTATAATTCCCTTCAGAATTTCAGAATTAGAATTCCCATCAAGTGATAGCTTGATCCTAGACCATTGAAAATTCTCCCCATACCTGATCATCTCTTCTGCCCACATCAAGGCCTTAGGATAGGACTTGCTCACTGGTGTTTCCACTCCCAGGACACTTAACACTCCTGGTAGAAAGCTGATTCTTTATGGTATACAAAAATGGTCTTTTTTCCGATTTCTACAATTCTGGGGATTTAAAATGTACCTGAGTACTTTGGTGTTAAAAAGGAATACTTTTGGTGCATGCATATTGCTCGTGAAATGGCTTAGTTTCAATTAGACGATTCTGTGGCTTTTTTTTATGTGTTATTTAGGTTTTGGCTGAACACAAATCCCTACCACAGCACAGGAGCCTCCTTGAGAATTACTGCAGCTCCGTCTCAGTGGTGTTTGTCTGAGCCATGATGGGAGGTTCAGCAGGGACCCTCACGCTCGGGCGCTTTCTTCCTAAGCAGAGTTGAGAGCTGCATAGCTCATTCAAAAATTAAACCCAACGTCCCGGGGGCCACACAAACGACTCATAGGGATCTGGCAGCCCATGGAATAGAGCTATTTCACCACCTAGACCTCTGTTTCTTATAGTTTTGGGGTTGTAGCTGCAGTTCCTATGACCTTAATGCCATTGCTTAGGATGTTAAAGCTTCTGATTGTGCAGTATGATCCAGTGTAGAGAACTCAGACAAGAGGACTTCCTGGGTTCATCTAGAACCCTTTCCTTAAAAGAGGCAGAGTTTGGGGCTCTGCTGAATGTCACTGTGTTCTCCCTTAGTTGGAGTTACTGGAAGTGCGCAGACAGCAAGAGGAAGAGGAGAGGAAGAGGCGGCCGCCTTCTCCCGAGCCGAGCACGAAGGTTTCCGAGGAGACCGAGTCCCAGCAGCAGTGGTGAGTCACAGGCAGCTGGCGCTGCTGGAATCTGAGCTTCAGTGACAAGTGAGGTGTAGGGGCATCTTTTCTACGCTTGTGCTATGCTAGGCTTAGCCACATGCCCTTCCTGTTAATTACTTCTGTAGAATATTTAGAATCTGTATAGTCACCCCTGGATAACGTCTGAGAACGCTGACTTGTCCACAGTCACATCGCTGTGTAGGCGGCAGAAGTGGAACGTAGACAGCACCCTCTCTACTGCACACATGTGTGTGCACACACACACACACACACACACACACACACACACTCACTCAGAATTTCCGTATGATTAAATGGATGGAGGGAACCACCCAGATTTCAGGCCAGTGATTTTGTGGAGATGCTTTGTGAAAGTTCTTTGTGACTTCACATGAAGGACAGAAATTATTCTCTATTTCTGAAAGGCTAGTTATTTTGCTGTGGTAAAAACTCCAGGACAACCCCTAACGCTGCCTGCGTGCAGGGACAGGGCATGCCTGTAGTCTTCTTCTCCATCTAGAGTCTGTTTGAAACACTTGGAAGGTTTTTAAAAAGAAGTTGTATTCTGTAAAAGAAGGTTGTATATGTTTTTCTGAGAGAAAACCTGTAGTAAAATTAATGTTGTTCTCACCCGTCCTCTCTTACCGTTTTTCTCTTTCTCCTCCTCTTCATTTCTTCTTCCTCCCCCTCTCTCCCTCCCCTTCCCTCCTCTGTCTTCCTTCTCCCGTTTACCTAACAGGGATACTTCAAAAGGAGAGCAAGTTTCCCAGAATGGTTTGCCGGCTGAACAGGGATCTCCACGGGTTAGTTACCGCTCTCAAACCTACCAAAACTACAAAAACTTTAATAGCAGACGGACAGCCAGTGACCAGCCATGGTCTGGACTGTGAAGTTCACTACCGTTTGTCAAGAACCACTCTTTCCAAATCCTGTTGATTTCACCTTTTGGCTTCCACTTCACCCACAGTGTTAAAATTTTACTTAATTCATAGCCTTCCTTGGTTTCATATTTGTTTGCGTTTAATTCATGTTTATTTGAGTCTTTTAACTGATGGATGCTCAGTTGCCTTAAAGCAACGTACTCATTTTTTGTTTATTTATTGTGAGCTTTTTACTTTATTAAGATTTTACAGCAAAAGCCTTACATGAGTAATTGAAATTAAATGAGATTACAGCAAAATGAAGAAGAGAACTAGAATCGGACAGGTACGGCACATCCAGTTATACTAACAGGGTGCAGTACTGCGCTGTACGTAGCCCCTTTATTAACCTGCAGTAGTTCACTAGTAACTAGGAAGACTGGTGTATGAGGAAGGAAACTTTACTAAGTACTAAGATTAAAACCTCAAGTCAGCTGTGTAACATTCCATGAAGGATGCATTCATTTATTGAAAAGGATAAGAAAATAAAGGGAAGATGAATCTACTTGGGAAGCTATTTTAGTTTTTAGGTGCAGAATCTCAAACGTTTTGAGATCCTCAGATCGCTTATTACTTTTTACAAACGAGATCCTCCCTTATTTTTTTCTGCCAAGTCCTGAATTGAGAATTCTGGGCTTACTTGCAACAGATAATGCCACCAGCCTCGGGAGTAAAGTGCCCGCTGACTGCTGCCGCCACCTTTGTCTTGGTCACTGCCAGCCCCGCCGACACGTGGGACGTGGCAGGTGACGGCCGTTGTCAGCGTGTGTCGGAAGCCTGCCTACCAGACTTCCAGGCCTCTCCATTCAGTTGATGACTTCAGGGTGTCAAACTATTTTAAATTTTTCAGACAAATGGAACAAAAGCCATTCTGGTTCACCCTGGTTACTTGAACGATGTACTTGGTGGACCACCTTAGGAGCATGCCTCCTGGCTTCAGAAGTAATTTAATGTCTCTGTAGACAGAAACTCCATTGTATGTCTCTGTCGTATGTACGGATCTCCTGATTCATTTTTCATTTTCTTACGACTTTCTGGAGTTTTCTAATAAGAGTTTTTTAGGATGGCGTTTATCAGACCACCAGCAGGGATTGAAAATGTTTTCACAGAAATTCTATTCCTTAGGAATAAAAGCTAATGAAAGAGGTGATTTCCTGGTACTCGTAAAGACAAAACCAAATCCACATTACATCAAAGCCTCGTGAGACATTCACTTGCTCATTTGCCATATTTAGATGTTAGGGGAATCAGAAACCTGTTTTGATATGTGTTCTCCATGAGTTAAGTCTAATTTGTCTTTTCATTTCATGATGCATGTCTTTTTTTTCTTTTGTCAGGATAACATCATATAGCATCTTGTTTGTTTTTCCTTATTTCTATGTACATATCTATCTACTTGTGACTGTAGATGGGTATATAGATAGATGCCAAGCTTCTTATTGTTCTGGGGTTAGTGTGCACCATTATTGGGTCTCTGCCTTAAAATTCACCAAAATCCATTTTAGAAAAAAACAGTGCTTCATCTTTGATCTTTAGGGAGCTCTGACGTGTTTCTGGCTCCAAATTGTATGTGTCATTGATCTATATGTATATATGTGATGTTTCCATATATATGTTTAAATTTTGTATCATCCGGACTAATACCCAATTTTATGCTTTTTGTATTCAGAAGACCAAAAAAAAAAAAAAAGGAACCACATAAGCACAGAGGAAAGGAGTGCTGTCATGTCTTTGGCATTTGTTCTCATGCCTGTTTTTACCTAGATTTTTAAATTGTAGCTTGCCAGAGCAAATTTTTAATTACAATTGGATTGTGTTGGAAGAAGAAAAGCCTTTTCATTCCTTTGAGTTACGGTGCAGAGACTCAAGATAATGAACTTGGAAATAGCGTTGCTTCGTGCACTTAGGAAACCAATCAGGTGTTTCTTGTGCTACTAGTTGTCACGTTGCATTTTTGTTCACCTCCTGATTTAAACATCTCAGGTGTACGCGGCCACTAAAGCACTCGGGACTAATTGCTCAAGAGAAGCAGCATGGGGTGGGGGCGGGGTGGACCCCCGTGTACCCACCATCTGGTCGTAGCACTTATGATTTGCTTTGATGTCTGTCTCTAGTGGTGTGTTGTCTGTTGGCATGCTTAAGCACATGTCCATTAAAATTCATTTTGTTCCTTTTATTTTCGTTGTTTTCTTGGTTAGCGATTCATTTGCATAAACATTAATTATCTCTGCATACTGGTTTGGGGTTTTCTCTTTCCTTCTAACTCTAAAGAAAAAAATTTTTGCTGCAGAATTTTCCCCAGAAGAGGCTCCCCTGGCCTTCACCTACCTTGAAGTGTGACCAAGTACTATAAATTTTAGCCTTTTTCCGGTAAACATTCTTCTGTCCAGGTCACTGCTGTCACTAGCATTTTTCGAGTCAACACCTGCAGCACTAATTTTTTTTTAACGTGGTTTCTCTACACACTAACCTCATGTCTCCCTGGACTCACGCCTGGCATAGGCCCTCCAGACCAAACTCACACTTCCTCCCCACCAGAAGTGTCCTGAAATCTCACACTAGAACAGATTTGTCAACTTTGAAATCCACTCACTTTCTTTTGACTCAGGGTTTTGTTTTTTGGTGGTGATTTCCCCTTCTGTATCTCTCCTTTAAAAGTGAAAGGAAGGAGAGAAATATTTAAATAGCCTATTGCTCATAAGCATGTGTCCACAGGCTGTCACTGCAAGGCCAGGATATCACCATGCCTTTTTGCCCAGAGAATCTACTTTCCACGTTGTTATGTGGGTGAAGGGTTGCAGTCAGAAACACCCTTAAATTGCATAGCCTCTAGTCTCACCCTAAACCCTGATGCTAATGGTGATAGTTTGCACAGACGGAATATAAACTCGTGTTTCCCGCCTAGCCACTTAGATAAGACTTGAACAAGGGATCAGTTCTGAGAGTTGACATATCTGAGTGTTCAAGCAGTGGTGGCCAGTCTACCATTTATCCTTTTGAGGTTGCTGCTGCTAATTTGGTGTCATTTGGTTCTGGGCAGCAGTGGTGGGGGACGTATCTAATGAGCGTGCCATTGACACCTCCATGTTTGTCCGTGTATAAGGGGTGCAGGTTGTCTGTAATCCACTAAAGCGCCAGCCACACCCACCCAGCTTTAGTAACTCGCTAATCCCACGCCCTGAGTGTATCAGCCAGGGGCTGCTACAGTTAATGGTACACAGTTGATGGTACACAGGCTGAAAACAATAATGAATCAAGACCCTACTGCATTTCCCAAGCCGAAAAGCCATGAGGGTTACAATATAAATGAGCTTGGGAAGGAACAGCTCCCGAAGACGTCTCCAGCCTGAAGGGTCAGAGCCGCTGGAAGCCTGGCTGTCTCTGGGCTTTCTCGTCTCAGTGCAGCAAGGCACCGTGATCAACCAACACGTGATGGGGAAGGCCCTGGTTCTGTCTTTGTTTGGGGGTAAATAGCTGTGTGGTGTTGAGTGACTGTGATTGGCTTTTCCAGCTCCTTTAACACAAACTACAACCCACTCACGATACAACTTCGGCAGATGTGGTTAAAACAGTGTTTGTTGACTTACCTCATTTCCTTCCAGCTCTTAAGTTCCAAAGTCTAACTGGGATGGTAGATGTGAAATGCATGATTGTCATCCTAATTTCTGCATGTGTTTATGACGATGTGTTGAGGGGAGGGGGAGAGAGCCAGAGAGCATTTTCAGAAGCGAAACGTCTTTCTTTGTCTTACTTCGGGGGAATGCTGTGTAGCTCTGACAGAGTTGTCTATCGATCTGTTTGTGAATGCCCTTTCGCTTAAACTTCCAGCCCTTCTGGTGGCGTCCTTGGTTGTAAGGTGGCTGCTGTATAACGTCCACTCTCTCATATTTAATATGTGTGATTGTTACCGTTGTCCTTTTGTTTTAAAGTAACCACAAGAGGAAATGATCTGAGTTATATTAGAGAAAATGGATTGATCGGAGGAGCAGAGTGCAGTAAAACTCATACTGGCATTTCGCTTTTCTCATATCCCCGTAAACGGGCGGGTATTAATCCATTCCCACCTTCTAATGTCCTTGGTGTCCAGCTGGCTTTGTGGGATGTGCAATGGTTTTACTGTACTGCCTCGATCTGTGCCAGGCATTTATACACAGCCACGTGTGCGAGTCAGTCAGAGCGTATGTGGTCACCCCCGTGGCTCACGGGGTTAGCTGAATGGCCTCTGTGCTGTCCCTAGATGGCAGAAACGGCAGACACGAGCGAAATGGTCAACGGCGCTGCAGAACAGAGGACAAGCTCGAAAGAGTCCAGCCCCATCCCCTCCCCCACCTCCGATCGCAAAACCAAGACGGCCCTCCCGGCCCAGAGCGCCGCCACCCTGCCGGCCAGAACCCAGGAGACGCCTTCGGCCCAGATGGAAGGCTTCCTGAATCGGAAGCACGAGTGGGAGGCCCACAACAAGAAGGCCACAAGCAGGTAACGGCGGCACAGGCTGAGGCACTAAGATGGGCAGTCAGCTCGTTACAGGTAGAGGCGGGTCGCTCTTGAGTTGAAAGGGGAGTGTGTGTTCATGTAGGTGGTTTGTTCTGCAGCTTCCTGGGCATCATGTGGTTCTTAGGACTGATGCTGGAAAGTTAGTAGAGCGCTTCTTATTCGCTGAGAGAGAGTTAAGTGTGGTTGGAAATAGCAAAGAGAGGCCTTAGTTCACCCTGAGAAGGAATGCTGCTAGATTGAGGTTGCAGACTCTTCCCTAAAGTGAGATGATGTCATTGTAGTGTTCCTCCTCCTGCGATTTTTTAGGACATTCATCATTTCCCATGCCTTATCTCCAATCAGTCTTTATATTCCTTATCTCCCAATAGCCCTGCTTTCATTATCTCTATTTTACAGATGAGGAAATTGAGGCTATGGGAGGTTAAGGAAGCTTACTCTCTGTAGAAACCTAGTAAATGGCATAAATGGGGTGAAACTCATATCTGACTCCACAGCCTGTGTGCTTAACCAGTAAACCAAACTGCCTGGGACCACCATGTACAGTTGTGCAGGTTGTACACTATACCAGGGAATCCCATCTAAAAGCTGCCATCCACATTGAGGACAACATAGGTTTATTTGTTAATACAGGCAGGTGGCAGTAAAGTTATCTTGTTCTGATAAAATCAGTATATTATGATAGTTTGCCATATGATGGAGAAAGGCCACCTTTTTCTAATTGATCCAAAGGTACCATAAGTGCTAATGGCCCTGGATTTGCCTCCTGTCAAGTTGCCAAGCCACATCAAGAATGAAGCTGAGCTGGAAGAGCTGCTTAAGGCCAGGCATGTTTCAGATAATGAGCCTGGCCTGTACCCAGTTACCACAAGAGGGTACTACAGCAACGAGTACCAAACACCAGCAAAAATCTTTCCCAGCAGACCCACGGGTACCTTTATTTAATGAAAGAGGGCACCATGTTTTTCCCGAAACACAGAGGGAAGTGGCCCTCAAAAACCTGCCACTATTTGCCCTGTCCCAGGAGTCCACGGAGGAATTTTGTTCCACTGTTTATTTTTAGCAGAATTTCGGAGGGACTTTCAGCACGGGGTCACACCACCTTGTGTGAGGATCATTTTCATATTAATCAGATTCTTAATTTTTGAAGGGAGGGTGGTGTCGAACCTTGACGTTCCTGTCTTTGCTTCTCAGGTCCTGGCACAATGTTTATTGTGTCATAAATAACCAAGAAATGGGTTTCTACAAAGATGCGAAGACCGCTGCTTCCGGAATTCCCTACCACAGCGAGGTCCCTGTGAGCTTGAAAGAAGCTGTCTGTGAAGTGGCCCTTGATTACAAAAAGAAGAAGCACGTGTTCAAGCTAAGGTGAGAGTCGCCGTGCTGCACAGTTGCCGGGGAGTGGGGTGTGTTCATTTTCACTCTGGGGGTTGGTTTTCTTCGACAGATAGTGTTATCAGGTGGGTCCTCTCCTCTGCCATTTAAATAATCAGTAAAGTGGCAAGCCAATTTGGCACTCATCTCGGTCAGGATCTTTGGGGACTGTGGCCAGTCACGGGGGTCCCTGTGGTTAACAGCACAGCTGAACATTGAGGAAAAGGAGGTTTTGTTTTTATAAGCTGGAACTTAGTGTTCCCTAAGACAAGGTGAGCTAGTTACATTTCACAATTTAGGGGAAGCTTAGAAAAATAGTTTCCCCATTTTTGCAGCTTATCCAGATCCAGGAGGTGCTATTCTTTGCTCATGAGTTGTCTGGAGATGGGTCAAATGAGTCATCCTGGAGCCAGATGGAGACAAACAGGGAGTGTGTGCACTCCCCTGACTCGCCCAGCAGATGTTCCAGATGCCTCTGGAACCGTCTAGTTCCAAATGTCTCTACCCTGTAGAACATACGCACCTTCCCACGGAGTGGTTCCAACCTCAGAAGTTCTGCTTGTACTTGGAAATGGGCAGAAAAAGCATTTTATCTTGTAAAAATGTAAAAGCTAAACATGTTAGTGGTTAGGATATTACTTAAAGTAGTTAAATACTAATTCGATCTGTTGCTTTGGGATCTGAAGAGCTTTGGTCTCCAGTTATGTGTGTGTCTCATGCCAGTTGGACTAGGCCAAGGCCTACAAATGGTGTGATTTATTGAGCTCTGTTGACGAGCACTGGAGCGGGCTCTTCGGGACTTGGAACACTTCACATTCTGTGAGACGAGGCACAGACAGCCTGGCTCCCTGGCTGCCTCCCACTTTGTACTCCTTGATGCAGCTTCAGAGGGTCAGGATATTGGCAGAGAGCACTTAATCCTCCTCCACCCTGGCAACGCCCCCTTCCTCTTGAGAGCAGCAGAGTGAATGAGTGAGCCCTCCATGCTGATGACCTCGTGCTGTCAGGGTGATGGCCTCGCCAGGGCAGTTTGTTCGTTCTGAGACATGCGTAGAAGGAGAAATCTAGGAGACCTTTTCTGTATGTCTGTTCAGAAACTCTGGTGTTTGTAAATGTGGAGGATACGAGCTCAGGAGCAGAATTTCAAAAGGGCTCATAATTTTTAAAGAGCTTTTTCTTGAATTCCATTTAGAGCAGTGATCTGGCATCGAGTGGTCTTTGCCAAAACAAAGCCAGATGTTGATATATTTGGGACTTTTTTGGTTCTTCCATTGGATTGAAACGCTAAGTTGCCTGTGTATATTATACTGGCCCAATTATGTGGCTTCTTCATGTCCAGGGGGCCACTGCTGGGCCTGTGCGGCC